GTCTGGGTTTTCTACTTCATCAGGAAAAAAACCCAGTTCCAGGCCTTCTGAATTCTGCCTCGGCGGCAGGGGTACTTTGGCCTGTCATTATCACCAGTCACTTGCCGAACAGTCTTTTGTAAGTGAGAGCGCCCAGTGGCCTCCACCGCCCCCCAATATTTGGACTGCAATCAGGGACCCCTGCTCCGCCAAGCGGCCCACCACCTTCTCCCTCCCTCTGCTCTCGGACAGGCCAGGGCAACACTGATACATCCACTGGCCCAGGCACACAGTTCTCCTTAGTGCGGTGCCAACTTGGGGGCCAGGGCACTCCACACTCTCAGCAACAGAAGCATGATGCTCTGCCAACAAAGCCCAGGAGGTCAGACAGCTGGCTCTCACACCTGTTGGGCTGGTATGTGTCCGTGCAGAACAGCAGGAGGGTTGTACTGCAGGGGCTGTCCAAGTAACGGGTATCTGGCATCTCCTGAAAGTTGATAAAAAACGATTTTTACGTTTTCCTTGGGTAAGAAGGACTTGTCAGTTTTCTCAACTGTCTCAGGATGAGACGGGGAAACATGTTTAGCATATAATAAAATAGTGTAGGTACTGACATTTTTTTAAAAGAATTAAAAGCCTCCATCTAGCCTTTAAAGAGCTGGGGTAAACTTCTGAAAGGACTAAGGACTAATAACAATGGTTATGAGGGAGGTTAAGTGGTAAGAGCTGGGTAGACAGGTTAGCATGGAGAGAACAGCTCTGTAAACCTTAACATTCTATGCGAAATCCACCAAAGTAACTGTAATAGCTCATTATGCCCACTTGAGATGCTAAAATCCACATTTTTCTCTGATGCTTAAAAATTAACAGAAGTTACATTTCAGGGGATGGAAAAAACCTTGGAAAACTATGAAGCTCTCTATCCGTCCAAATTCATTATTAATTACTATAAACATATGCATTTATACATATACATATCCTCATGCAAACATTTTTCTAGGCTTAATCAATGGGTATATTTACATTCTAGGTCTTGGGTCTGCTCTTAAGCTCTCTTTAAATGAAAGTCTGTAACAATATTTATAATGTAAACTTGCTTAGAAAGACTGGCATAGTTCCTCAGTGTCACTCATGAGCAAGCAACCCCTTCCTAAATCAACAAGTGCGGGGTAGTCAGGATGGAGATACTCCAATTATTTTCTTTCACGCATGAGTGCCTATAAGTCATCCCATGGAAAGGGCTTCATAAATGCTGAGTGCAAAAGCCTTGTCCTAGAGAATAATGTTCTCATTTGTTATATTCTCATTTTATTTTAACCGTTAAGTTCCCCAATGTAGCACATTCAGTGTCTGGAGAAGGGTTATGCGTAGCTGCTAGGACAGCATCTTTAGGAAATCATACAGTGCTTCTCCTGACACTTTCCTAACAGAGAGAAGCAAGGCGTGAACCTCCTGCCACTCTGTGGAGCTGTTTTCTTTTTCTTTTTTTTTTTTTTGCGGTATGCGGGCCTCTCACTGTTGTGACCTCTCCCGTTGCGGAGCACAGGCTCCGGACGCGCAGGCTCAGCGGCCATGGCTCACGGGCCCAGCCGCTCTGCGGCATGCGGGATCTTCCCGGACCGGGGCACGAACCCGTGTCCCCTGCATCGGCAGGCGGACTCTCAACCACTGCGCCACCAGGGAAGCCCTGTGGGGCTCTTTTCTGATGAACACTTTTGGGGTGCTTTGGCAGCTCCATGGCAAAATACACCCACGACATACTTGCTCCACCCCAAACAATAGTTGAAGGGAAGACATGACATGGAGGTTTAGCACTGAGATCAGAGATGCAATTTTAAGCATGAAAATGTATAAAAAACAGTTGCAAAGAAGTCAGAGTTAAGTTCAGGCCTATGGAGCAGTATTCTTTGCAAATACAGAGCTGAGACTGTAGTCAGCAACAGCCAGAGATCCCTCCTGGTAGGCTACATTGCCACATACTGTTTCAATCCACACACTGTTGCAATTTACTTTTTTATAACGTGCTTTATTTTTCTAGTTTATTAAAGTTATTTGGCTTTGTAAAAAACGTGGAAATAGAGAATTATAAAGGAGAAGTTAGAGACCACCCTGGTAATTCCATTACTTCTAACATTTTGGTGTGTATCCTTCCAGTCTTGCTTTTATGTACGTGTGCTTACACATGTATATATGTGTACATTTTGTATTTCTTTGAAAAACCTGAGATATAATTAACGTAAAATAAAATACACATCTTTAGTGTTGGGTTTGATGAAATCTAACTATTGTAGAAGTTCATATAACCATGACCCAGAGAGAAGAGTATTTCCATCTCCTTGGAAGTTCCCTCAAGCTCCTTTTCAGTCAATTCCATATCTCATTCACACCACAATCTGAGTGCTAACACCGCAGCTTAGTTGCCTACAGTTGGATTTCATAAAATTAGAATCATGTCTTCTTTTTGTGTCTGGTTTGCTTTTTGCTTAACATGACTCGGAGATTCATCCATGCTGTTGCATGCCAGTGGTTTGCTTTGTTCATTTTTATTGCTGAGCTGTAAGGAATACTACAATTTTTTTATCCAACCTCCTGATGGTGGACATTTGGGTCACTGTCCAGTTTGGGCTGTTATAAGAAAATAAGGTTGTTATAAATGTACTTGTACAAGTCTGCACAGACATGTCTTCATTTCTCTTGGGTAAATACCTAGGAGTGGAACTGCTGCACTGTAAGGTAAGTGATTAACTTTGTAAGAAACTGCCAAATCTTTTTCCAAAGTGGTCATATATATCATTTTACACTCCCACACCAATGTGCGAAAATTTTGGTTGCTCTGTAACTTCACCAACATTTGGTTTTGTTAGTCTCTTTGATTATAGCCATTCTAGTGGGGGTGAGCAGTATTTCACTGAGATTTTAATGTTCCTTTCCCTAATGAATGATGTTGAGCACCTTTTCAAGGGCTTATTAGACATCTGTTTATCTTCTTTTTTGAAATGTCCACGTAACTTGTTCCTTTTTTTTTTTTAACAACTTTATCGGAGTACAATTGCTTTACGTTGTTGTGTTAGTTTTTGCTGTATAACAAAGTGAATCAGCTATACGTATATATATATATATATATCTCGCCATATCCCCTCCCTCTTGCGTCTCCCTCCCTCCCCCCCTCCCTATCCCACCCCTCTAGGTGGTCACAAAGCACCGAGCTGATCTCGCTGTGCTATGCAGCTGCTTCCCACTAGCTATCTACCTTAGGTTTGGTAGTGTATATATGTCCATGCCACTCTCTCACTTCATCCCAGCTTACCCTTCCCCCTCCCTGTGTCCTCAAGTCCATTCTCTATGTCTGTGTCTTTATTCCTGTCCTGACCCTAGGTTCTTCAGAACCATTTTTTTTAGATTCCATATATATGTGTTAGCATACGGTATTTGTTTTTCTGACTTACTTCACTCCGTATGACAGACTCTAGGTCCATCCACCTTATTACAAATAACTCAATTTCGTTTCTTTTCATGGCTGAGTACATATTCCATTGTATATATGTGCCACATCTTCTTTATCCATTCATCTGTCAATGGACACTTAGGCTGCTTCCATGTCCTGGCCATTGTAAATAACTTGTTCTTTAAAAATCACTCAGTGTACTATGACTACTTTCCCTCTTAATGATTCTTTAAGACATTATTTTTAGATTACTGTATAGAATTACTTATACGGAGATATATATGTCCATAATCTAATTAATCTCCTTACTAATGGACATTTAGATTGTTTTTGAACTTTTCTGGCATAGAATAAACTCTTCTGTGCATAAACCATTGTGTACATTATCCTCAGGATAAATTCCAGGAAATAAAATTAATGGTTTCCATGTTATTTTATAATCATCTGCTTGAGTTTCTGTTCCTCCAACTAGACTGAGGGTTGATGATGATGAGGTCTTGGCCTTATTCATCTTTGTACATCTGGGGCACAGTAAGTCCTCAATATTTGTTGAATAAATTTTTGAATAAACTCTTGATATTATTAGTCTAATACAGAAATTAGAAATACAAAACAGATACCACATAGCCTATTACTACTACAGAGGAATGGAGCTGAAGAATAAGTCAGTCACTTTAATTCATCCTGCAATTATTATAAGTAATTAATAAATTAGGAATTAACTAATTTTTTTTTTTGGGGGGGGGGTGGCCAGGCTGTGTGGCATGCTGGATCTTATTTCCCTGACCAGGGATTGAATCCATGCCCCATGCAGTGGAAGCGTGGAGTCTTAACCACTGGACTGCCAGGGAAGTCCCAGTAATTAATTATTAATTGTGATGAAACCTTAAGGTTAGGAGAGTGAATGGTAATAAATAAAGATGCCTGAGTGAGGTGAAAATGCAGTCCTGTGGAATAATGAAAGGTAGTGGTACCAAGTAAATCACAAAGTGACTGGGAATGGATGTCCTAAAGTTCTCTGAGGCTGTGACTAGCTTTGTACACACTTACCTTGCCCAGGGACAAAGGGTCTAGAAAACTGGGGTATGATGGAAAGTGGCGGTCCAGAGGGACGGACAGTTTTCAGGGTAGACAGCTGAGCTGGTGCTGGCGACTGAGCTGGTGAAATAATGGGACTACTGAGTTGAGGACTGTGCTGCAATTATATCAAGAAAAAAGGTCAGCATTTTAGGCTTTTTGCAAATTTCCTTTTGGACAGAAATTTTTACTCTTTCTGATTATAGATATGTACTTGTTACACCACTGCAATAGGTACTTTGTTATTAAAAAAGTTAAAACAGTATAGAAATTTATAATTTCCAATTCCCAAGGATAAACACTGGTAAACTGTTTCCATGCACATGCATCCATACATCTGTTTTACAAAAATGGAAACAGACTATACATCCTATTTTTGAATCTTGCTTTTGTACCTTTACAATAATATTGTAGATACTTTTCCATCAGAGAATATACACATCTACTTCATTCTTTTTTTCATATTAACTGTTTATTTTAAACTTCTTCCTTAAAACAGGTGCAAAAATAGTCCAAAAAAACTTCAGATTTCCCAAATGTTAATATTTTATTATATTTGCTTTCTCTCTATATATATAGTTACTTCTTTTCTGAACTATTAGAGAATGAGTTGCTCACAATACCACTCTATTTCCAAAATAATTAGTGTCTATTTCCTAAGAACAAGGACATTTTCTTATACAAATAACCACAGTGAATTATCAACATCAGGTGACTAACGACATAATATCAGATAATTTATATCATTTATTCAAATTTTGCCAACTGTCCCACTAAGGTACTTTATAGCAGAAGAAAAAAAGAAAGAAAAACTTCCTTCTAGTACAGAATCCGCTGTAGAATCAACTGCTGCATTTAGTTGTCTTGTCTCTTTAACCTTCTCCACCTAGAAGAGTCTGTCTTTCTTCTCTCTCATGATTTTGACATTTTGAAGATCAGTTTCTGAAGGTCACTCTGAAGACCAGTTATTTTATAGGATGGCTCTCAACTTGGGTTTGCCTACTGTTTCCTCATCAAAAAGCTTATGATATACATTTGGGGAAGGGAATTCCAGAGAAGTGATGCCGTGTCCTTCTCAATGCATCCTGTGAGAAGGTACATGACATCCATCTGTCACTACAGTACTGGTGATGTTTCTTTTGGCTGCTTGGTTAAGGTGGTGTCTGCCAGGTTTCTCCATTGTCAAGTTACTATTTTTTCCTTTCTAGTTATAAATGTCTCGTGGGGAGATCATAATATCTGTGAACAGAAACAATTTTACTTCTTCATTTCCAATGTTATTTCCAACATTTAATTTCTTTTTCTTACCTAATTGCATTGCCTAGAACCTCCAGTACAATCTTGGCAGGTGAAGATACTTCGTATGATACTTACCTTTTAAAATCTGTTAAGGCTTGGGGACTTCCCTGGTGGCGCAGTGGTTAAGAATCTGCCTGCCAATGCGGGGGACACGGGTTCCAGCCCTGGTCCAGGAAGATCCCACATGCCGCGAAGCAACTGAGCCCGTGCGCCACAACTACGGAGCCTGTGCTCTAGAGCCCGTGAGCCATAACTACTGAGCCCGTGTGCCACAACTACTGAAGCCCGCATGCCTAGAGCCCATGCTCTGCAACAAGAGAAGCCATAGCAATGAGAAGTCTGTGTACTGCAATGAAGAGGAGCCACTGCTTGCTGCAACTAGAGAAAGCCCGCACACAGCAACAAAGACCCAATGCAGCCATAAATAAATAAATAAATAAATTAAAATAAATAAATAAAATCTGTTAAGGCTTTACATGTGGCCTAACAATAAAGTCTATCCAAGAAGATGTGCAGTGTGCACCTAAGAGGAATGTGTGTGCTGTTGTTGTCAAGTAGTCTGTGTATGTTTGTTAGATCTAGTTGGTTCACTGTGTTTAAGCTCATTTTTTTACTTATCTTCTGTCTGGTTGTTCCATCCATTATTGAGAGTACGGTATTATGTCTCCAACTATTAATGTAGAACTGTCTATTTCTCCCTTCAATTGTGTCCGTTTTTGCTTCATGTATTTTGATGGTCTGCAATTAGGTGTGTAAGAGTTTAGAATTGTTATATCTTCTTGCTGTATTGAACCTTTTATTAATATATATATTCTTTGTATCTTGTAAAGTTTTTGGATCTGATGTTAGCATAACCACCTCTGCTCTCTTTTGGTTATGATTTGCATGAAGTATCTTTTTTCATCCTTTCACTTTCAATCTATTTGTGTCTTTGGATCTAAAGTGAGCCTCTTGTAGATAGCATATAGTTAGATCATGTGTTTTTATCCATTCAGCCAATCTGTCTTTTGATTGAAGATTTTAATCCATTTCCATTTAAAGCGATTACCAATCAAGGGGGATTTAATTTTATCATTTTGCTATTTGTTTTCTGTATGTCTTATTGCTTTTTTGTCCCTCATTTCCTGCACTACTGTCTTCTTTTGTGTTTGCTTGATTTTTTTTGTACTGAAATGTTTAAATTCCTTTCTCATTTCCTTTTGTATACATTCCATAGCTTTTTTCCTTCGTGGTAACCTTGGGGATTACACCTAACATACAAAAGTTAAATATAATGCTTAAATTTGAATTTATACTAGCTTAACTTCAATAACATACAAAAACTGTGCTCCTCTGTCTCTACCCCCTTTGGTTGCTGATGTCACAAAATTACATCTTTATACTCTATGTGCCCCCAAACAAACTTATAATTCTTTTTTTTTTTTTTTGGCCGCACCGCATGGCACGCAGGATCTTAGTTCTCTGACTAGGGATCGAACCTGTGCCCCTTGCAGTGGAGGCGCAGAGTCTTAACCACTGGACCGCCAGCGAAGTCCCAAACTTATAATTCTTTTAAGTGCATTAGTCTCTTAAATTATGTAGAAAACAAAATGGGGAGTTAGAAATCAAAGTTATAATAACACTGTCTTTCAGATAATAATTGTTTAAAAAATATTAATCTCTTAATTCACGTAGAATTAAGAATGGGGGCTACTCTTTGTTGTGGTGCGCAGGGTGCACAGGCTTCAGTAGTTGTGGCTTGCAGGCTCAGTAGTTGTGGCTCGCGGGCTCTAGAGCACAGGCTCAGCAGTTGTGGTGCATGGGCTTAGTTGCTCTGCGGCATGTGGGATCTTCCCGGACCAGGGATTGAACATGTGTCCTCTGCATTGGCAGGCGGATTCTTAACCACTGCGCCACCAGGGAAGGCCCTGAAGGACAGTTTTGCTAGATATAGGATTCTTGGTTGACGGTTTTTCTTCTTGTAGCACTCTGAATATATCGGCCTGTTGCCTCCAGTCTCCAAAGTTTCTGATGAGAGATCTGCTGATAATCTTTTTGAAGATCGCTTATATGTTATGAGTTGTTTCTTTCTTGCTGCTTTTAATATTCTCTCTGCCTTTGTCTTTCTAAAAATTGATTATTGTATGTCTCAGTGTGCATCTCTGAGTTCACCTTACTTGGAGTTTGTTGAGCTGCTTGATGTTTACATTCATGTCTTTTATCAAATTTGAGAAGTTTTCAGTCGTTATTTCTTCAAATATTCTCTCTGTCCCCTTCTCTCTTCTCCTTCTGAGATACCCACAATGTTTATGTTGGCCCACTTGATGGTGTTCCATAGGTTCCTTAGGCCCTGTTCACTTTACTTCATTCTTTTTTGTCTGTTCCTCAGACTCGAATCATTTACATTGCCCTATCTTCAAGTTCTCTGATTCCTTCTTTTGCCTGCTCAAATTTACCAATGAATTCCTTTAGTGTATTTTTTCATTTTAGTCATTGTATTTTCAGCTCTAGAATTTTTCCTAAATGGCACATAAATTTATTTAATAATTTACCCACTACTGAATATCAGACTATTTTCAGATTTTCAGTGTTAGGACAGAGAAGAAAGAAATATCCTTGCAAACATATTCTTGTATGTTTGTTCCACAATTTTTACTAGACAAAGTTCTAGAAGTGAATTTGTGAATCAGAGGCCTTCCACATTTTGAAAAATGTCACTAAACTGCACTCCAAAAAGAGTTGCATCAATCAATTTACCAAGAGTCACAAGAGAGTTTACAACTGGATATATCTGCCAACACTGCAAATTAATAGTCTTCCTAAATATCCCAATTATACAGATAAAAAACTATTTTTATCTGTTTAATGGCCACTGGCCATTTATAGTTTGTGACCTAGCCTATAAGTGACCATTGCCTTTTTTATTTTGATATGATTTTGTCATGTGCATTGACAAATTTTTTGTTCGTCTTTAAAAAAAAATTAAAAACCTTTCAATGTTGTAAACAAACTTTCAAGTATATAAAAGTATATACTCATCACAGACAGATGAGTATAACAAATTTCCATATACTCATCATCCAGCTTTGATTGTGATATCCCCTGCTTTTTTTCTTACTAGACAATTTAAAGGAAATCTCAGATTATCACAGGATTTCACTTGTAAATATTTCAGTATATAAATATTTCTATCTAACAGATAAGAACTATTACAAAAAAACCCCACCTTTATCATACTAACAAAATTAACATATTGAACTGTCCACTTTTTGCCTCAAAATGTCTTTTGGCTGTTCAGTATCCAAGGAAGATCGCCATACATTGCATCTGATTGTTATAACTCTTGAGTCTCTATTAATCTACAACAGACTCATCCTTCATTTAAAAATGCCATTTATTTGTTAAAGAAATAGGCCAATTTATCCAATAAAATATTCCACTATACATAGAAACTGCTTTATATTTTCTTCCTTTATTTTCTGTAAATTAATAGCTAGACTTAGAGAGACTTGATTAGATTCAGGTTCTATATATATATATATATATATTTTTTTTTTTTTTTTTTTTTTTTTATTTTACTTAATAAAGGCCCCAAAGTGCAAGAGTTGTCATGCTGGCAATTCAAATATGACAAAGAGGAGCCCATAACCTACTTTTTTTTTGGTTGCACTGCACGGCTTATGGGATCTTAGTTCCCTGACCAGGGATCAAACCTGTGCCCCAGCAATGGAAGCTCAGAGTCCTAACCACTAGACTGCCAGGGAATTCCCAGGTTCAATATTTTTGACAAGAGTATATCATAGGTGATGCTTCTAAACCACATTAGAAAGCAAATAATGTTTGGTTGGCCCAATTTAATTGATGCTACAATTGAACAGTTGCTTCAAGTGCTGTCTGCCTAATCTACCCATTTTAAAGTTCCCCATAAATCGTTTCCTAATGTTTCTGGCATTTGCTGATGATGTTTCCCTGTTCATTACTTTAACAGGACTCCAAAATAGTGATTTTTAAATTCTATCATTGCCTTTAAATTTGTTAATTGTATTTCTTCTATGATGAAGAGCATTCCCTCATCAACTTTCTGGCTACAGTAAAATACAGTTCAGATGGGGAAGGCAGGATAACAGCTTAATTCATTTTCTTTACCAAATTTCAGATCTAGTTTGTCTTCTGAGTTTTTAAATTAAAAAAATTTAAATTATGCAAACGTTGGGAAACATATTTAAATACTGAAATAAATTGTCTGGATATAGAGAATGTTCAAACTTCTTTACTAATTTGTTTGAGAAGATTTCAAATTCGGCATCAAGCCTTATAGGTTGGTCAATCTTATGTAACTAAATATTGAAAGTTTTAAAATTATAATAAAAGAGGCATCTTACCTGAACAATATTGTCTATACTGCTAAATTCCACACACTTCTGTCCTCTCTGGTGATCACAGTAATATTTGTTTTGCTTCCACAGTGGGGGTGAATGGGCACGAGACTGTGGATTGTTTGGTACACTGAGCTGCATCATCACCATTCCGCCACCAGCTGGTGGAGGTGGCACAGCTGAAAATCAGAATCAGGACACTGCAATTAGCAAACTTTAGCAAATAGCTGGTATCTTTAAACACCAAGATAATGGCAATAATTTTACATCTCTGAAAAAAAATTTACTGCTATTTATACAAGCCAGATTTAAACTCTAATGCTTATACTACAAGTGCTGTGTTTAAAAAGACATTGAAATTGACTCTGTAGACCTAAACATCTCACTTAACCTCAACACAGTAAGTCAGGAAAGTCCAATTATCTACAACAAGACCTAGTATAGAGTAGGACAATTGCGATATGATCTACAAAAGTGCTTAATTTTTAAAATAAATTCATTTTCAAACGAGCATTATTTTAAATACATAAAGGAATACTCTGGGAAAAATTAGTGTCCTACAGAAATTCTGACATACAGAGAAAAGTCGTCTTTTGAGTGAATCAGTCTCATGCGGTGGGAAAAAGTTTGGGATACAGGAATCAGAAAGCACAATTTCAGTGTCCTGAAATGTCCTATAACTCTGGGGAAATTATTTTTCCTCTTTTATTGTATTTTCTCGTCTGAAAAAGGCTAGGAAGACCTCCTAGGCTGATTTTAAAGAGTTATAATAATCATATGCATGTACAAACACTGCTAGCTGTACAGTACCTGTGGACTACAATATCTACCTTCTCATCTGATTTATTCCTGCCATGGCACTGGTATTGCAGCACTACTAGTATTCGGAATGTAACTGCCACTCACCACTTCAGTGTAAGGTAAGGTGCCCTGTGCCCCACCTCCAGGGCCACTGTTTGCATTGCAGTAATCGTAATGGTAGTTTCCAATTCCCCAGAAATAGCACCACCCTGACCTGGCTAGGCACACCACAGAAGGGCTGACTGCTTAGGAACATCTCAAGGTTCTCGTTGGCCACAGCAGCCCATGCTGATGCAGCCACTATTAGTCATGTATTTGATAATCATTTATTGTTTCTCTGCTTCTTTGAGATTACATATGTCAACAGACCATTACAATAAAATATGATAAAGGATTGTTTAAGACACTATGGAAGCAGAGAAAATGAAGCAACAAACTGTTTTAAGGACTGAGGAAGGCTTTGCAGAAGAGGTGATTTCTGAGTCAAACTTCAAGGATAAGCAGGATTTTGGCAAACTGGATGGTGGACAGGCATTCCAGGCGGAGGGAAGAACAGGTACAGAAGTATCTTTGGCATGAAAGAGCATAGTATAGTCTACAAATAGAGTTCTGCATGACTTGAGCATATACGTATAAATAGAAGGCTTAATTGCTAGGGAGTGTAGATGGAGAATCTATGCAAATTTTTAATTCAGAGGAATGACATGAAGAGACACCTGTTTCAGGACAGTGATTCTTGAACTGTGTATATATGTGTGCATGTGCTGTGGAGGAGGAAAGCTGGACGTGGGGCAACATGAAATAAGCAAAACACATAAGAAATTACTGTGAAGACATGAAAAGAACTGACCAAAAGTAGAGGCAGTGGGGAAGGAAGGACGGTACCAGCTTTGAGGAAATGGTGAAGCCTGAGTGTGAAAGGGGTGAACGGAAGAGAGTTATAATTTTGCCATTTGTATTGGTCCCTAGATAGAAGGTGAGGAAAGGGAGGCAGGAAGAGGGAGAAATATTAAATCTAGTGCCCCTGACACATCCCTGAGTAGGAATGTCCAGCAGGCCGTTGGCTATGTGGTCTTGTCTTGGCAGAAATAAAATTTGGGAGACACCGGCAAAAAAGCCGTTGTTGAAACTGGGGAAGTGGTTGGACTTCTGAGGAAGAAGCTGACGAGTAATGAGAGAGGGTATCCCAGAGAACATCCATACTTATGAGGCAGGCAGGAAGGAGAGCCTGAGCAGGAGAATCGGAGAGCAGCGGCAGTGGTAGCAGGGGAAAAGGAAGAAGCGGGCGGAACCTGTTAGCTCTGATTTCTCATGGCACCCTGCATACTCTGGGTACATCTCAGCACCTAACAAGTTGAAAACCTTTTTCTAGAAATGTCCAAGGAACTTATTTCTCAAATGGACAAACCATTGCCTTCTTTTTCTTCCAATTGTCTATTCATACCTGCACACTGGTGGCCTTGAAGCTGCTGGGAATTGCATGGTGATGTAGCTCGAGGCAACTGTACTTGTTCTGATCCTGGAGGTTGCAAGTAACCTACTGAGGAGCTATGGGGAAAAAAAATCAAACATACACGAAAACACAGCCCAATGAGATGGAGATGACTGTAAAGTTTCTTTGAATGAACAGTCCTATAAACTTATTTAAATAAAATTATTTTTCAAGTAGGTCAGCTTAGTAGAAGTCAAAACTAACTCTTTTCTAAACTGAGAGTTATAAATAATTACTTTTTGGATAAAAATCACCTTGTTTTTGACAATAACACAGATTTAAAAAAATAACTCCTGATTTCATTGCTCTTATTCTTTTACAACTTATTCTAAATATGATTTTTGTACTGTTCAAATAATTATTTTAAAAAGAAGAAAAATAACTCACTAATTTTACAGAATAAAAAGGTACTTTATTTGGATCTCACTAAGCTATACTTTAGAAGAGAGAATATGCAGTTAGACAATGATGAGACTCAGAAAAAATACGTTATTCCCTAAAAAATGTGCTATCTAAGGACATAAGGTACTATCTAATGAATAAAATAAACAATAGAACATGATTCTGACATATTCTAATAGAAATACTGACAAAAATAGAAGGCTGTTATTGTAAAACCATTAAGCTATTACTGTATTTTTCAAGGTTAGTCTTTGAGAATCAAACTAATATGGGATTTGTCATAATATGTCTTTAAAGTTTTCTCCATTTAGCAATTTCTTTTAAGAAAATAGTGAAAATCATAGAGCAATACTGTGAATTCTTTCTGAGAATTCTCAAGGAATCAGAAATCTTAATTTATTATAAAACCCTGTTACCACCCTTTTTTAATCATTTAAATCAACTTTCTTTACATGGTATTTTATTTCTTAATCTAGCTTTAACAACTTTTTGCATTTACATCTCACATAACTGCATCAAAAATAATACATTAGATCCAAGTACTGAATTACAGAAAATACAGGGAGACATGTTAAACAATACCATGATGACACAATCAGTCAAATCCAGACTCTGGGACACTCTACAAGACAAATGTGTGAAAACATAAGCAGTACTTGTGAGGTAGCTGGTAATACAAAGACCAACTGGATATTGGATATAATTAAGAAATTAACTGCTAAATTTTCTAGAATGTGAAACAGTACTATTAAGTTAGGTAGGTTTAAAAAAACCTTTTAGGGATACCTATACTGAAATACTCGTGAATGAAAATAATATGATACCTGGGTTTATTTCAAAATAATATGGGAGGAGGATGAAACAGAAGTTTAAATGAAAACAGATTAGTCATTAGTTGATAAATGTACAAGCTAAGTGATGGGTACATGGGGGTTCAGTACACTTCTGTTTACAATTATGTGTATTTAAAAATGTCTGTAGGGACTTCCCTGGTGGTCTAGTGGTAAAGAATCCGCCTTCCAATGTAGGGTGCGTGGGTTTGATCCCTGGTCCGGGAACTAAGATCCCACATGCTGTGGGGCAACTAAGCCCGTGCGCCTCAACGAGAGAGCCCAAGTGCTGCAAATTACAGAACCCACGTGCTCTGGAGCCCTTGCGCCACAACTACAGAGCCCACATGCCCTGGAGTCTGCATGCCACAACTAGAGAGAGAAAACCACACACCACAACTGGAGAGAAGCCCAGGTGCCACAGCTAGAGAGAAGTCCACACGCTGCAAAAATGAGCCTGCGCACCACAACCAAAGAAAAAAGAAAGAAAAAAAAGATCCTGCACACCACAACAAAGACCCGAGGCAGCCAAAGGAAAAAAATAAAAATGAAAATAAAAATAGGGAATTCCCTGGTAGCGCAGTGGTGAAGAATCTGCCTACCAATGCAGGGGGCACAGGTTCGATCCCTGGTACGGGAGGATCCCACATGCCTCAGAGCAACTAAGCCCGAGCACCACAACTACTGAGCCTACACTCTGGAGCCCGCGAGCCACAACTACTGAAGCCCGCAAGCCTAGACCCCATGCTCCACAACAAGAGAAGTCACTGCAATGAGAAGCCTGCACACCGCAACGAAGAGTAGCCTTCGCTCGCTGCAACTAGAGAAAACCCGCACACAGCAATGAAGAACCAACGCAGCCAGAAATAAATAAATTTATTAAAAACAAACAAACTGGGCTTCCCTGGTGGCACAGTGGTTGAGGGTCCACCAGCCAATGCAGGGGACACGGGTTCGTGCCCCGGTCCGGGAGGATCCCACATGCCGCGGAGCGGCTGGGCCCGTGGGCCATGGCTGCTGGGCCTGCGCGTCCGGAGCCTGTGCTCCGCAATGGGAGAGGCCACGGCGGTGAGGGGCACGCGTACCGAAGAAAAACAAAAACAAAAACAAAAAAACCCAACCAAACAAAAACATTAAAAAAATGTACCAAGGACCTTAAAAACAGTCATATCTTATGATCTATTAATCCCACTCTAAAGACCCTATAAAAATGAAGAAATTCAAGTTGCTCACCAGGGTTAATAAATTATTGTATATTCATAAAATCAAACATTAAAAATTATATTTACAAAGAAATTTTTAATGACGTGAAAAACCCTATACAACACGAACAAAAAATATCCAATAGTATCACAACTATGTTAAAACTACATACAAAGACTTCTTTGGTGGCGCAGTGGTTAAGAATCCACCTGCCAATGCAGGGGACATGGGTTTGAGCCCTGATCCCGGAAGATCCCACATGCCACGCAGCAACTAAGCCCGTGTGCCACAACTACCGAGCCCACGTGCCACAGCTACTGAAGCCCGTGTGCCTAGAGCCCGTGCTCTGCAACAATAGAAGCTACCACAATGAGAAGCTCGTGCACTGCAACAAAGAGTAGACCTGCTCGCCGCAACTAGAGAAAGCCTGCGCGCAGCAACAAAGACCCAACACAGCCAAAAATAAATACATTAATAAATTTATTTTAAAAAACCAAAAAAACTACATATGAAAAGAAAAAAGATTGAGAGAATAATATGAACATGACAGGAGCAGTTAACGTTTCCAAAAATGCACACATGCATTTAATAATTCTAATCACTAAAAATACCCTATGAAAACTGCCTGAAAAGTTCAACTTTTAAATGCTGTATCAGGGATTTAATATCAACTAATAATCTGAATCTCCTTCAGAAGTCTTCAGAAGTCACAGTATGCCCTGTGAAGACAATTACACTGATCTTCTGAAATATAAATCACCTTCAATTCATTTGAGGGGTAGACTTCAGTCAGGTTTGCTGTCTCTGGAAGAAAATATTAGCTTTCTTCCTTATAAGCTCTTTGCAATTCAAGGTGACTTCTACCTTATGTATTTTTGTGATGAGGATATCTAGCTAGGACAATATAAACAAACCCTCAACCAATTAGAATCTGACCAAACTATATGCTCAATTAATGAAAATAAATGTCAAATAAAACTTTTATTGTACAATATGTGGAGTTTTCCTTACATGCAAATGGCCAATTTTTCTAGGCTTTCTGGTTAAATGTTTATATTCCTAGAAGTATTCATTTATAGCTCACCTATTTCCAATGTGAAAGATTAAAAAAAAACTGAGTATACTAAAAAACAGAGAAGAGAAAACACTTAAAAGCAAAACAGAAATGGTGTAGGGACATCTGGGATAAGATTGTTGTGTTCACTGAGAACCAAATCTACTTTGTGTTTCCAGGCAGCTAAGACAAGTTGGTGAACCCAGAGGATTATAAGACTCTGCCAGGAAGATAAAGGAAGCAAACATTTAAGCCTCTGGCAGATGCTGGGTTACAGGCATATCATAATTGTATTCTATGATGAATTTAAAGCATGTAGTTAATTATAGAGGAATTTAGTCCTGTGATAGAAGACATGAAACGCAGTTCATCATTTTACCAGGAAACTGAGAAGCTGAGGGGGAAATCTTGCCTGAAGAGAGGATTACTTCCTGTTAAAAAATAGGTAGGATGTAGAATTACTTACAGTAAGGGCTAACATTTTCCTTAAAATGAACTTTGTAGTTTTCAAGTACTTGAATGAGACACAAGGGTCTGCACTGCACATTTCACATAAAAGATGCCTTTGGCTTGAGAAATATAAGGGTAGCTATTATCAAACACAATCAACCGCAAAGATATCTGTAGTGCTCCTGGGAGAATAACTGAGTTTGAGAAGGGCCATACTCTAACCACCCCACTAGTATAAACTGGTTATTATCAAGCAGCTCTGTCAGTGCAGAGCTAACGGATATATCACTTTAGTAGCTCGCTGAAGTCGTAGCAAACATTCACCAAACAGTAATTTTAGCTTTAGTATAGCTGATCCTAAGGTGCTCTTTTTAACAATAACTTAGCTGCTTATTAAGTCTGTGAGACCATAAAATTGTCACTGGCACTGAGGACGATGCTTGTATGCCTGTGTGATACAGCTGAAGAACGGGTATCCCATTCCTCAAACAGCTTCATAAAATCTTTTAAATATAATTTCAAAAGACAGGATGCCAGAACAGTATAATTTCTTCTTTTTTGAATCAAATTTCACCAATTAGAGACTGACTTCTGGCACGACAGCATGAGTTTACCGATCTGCTCTCCCCACTGAAAGTGGTGAAAGCTATAAAAAAGCATCCACTGAAACCCTATGGAAATGATCCTAAGGATGAAGAGCAAACTACAAACATCTATTCAAGAACATGTATGAAAACTCAGTAAGAAAACTGAGTTTGGGGCTTCCCTGGTGGTGCAGTGGCTGAGAGTCCGCCTGCCAATGCAGGGGACACGGGTGCGTGCCCCGGTCCGGGAAGATCCCACATGCCGCGGAGCGGCTAGGCCCATGAGCCATGGCCGCTAAGCCTGCACGTCCGGAGCCTGTGCTCCGCAGCGGGAGAGGCCACAACAGTGAGAGGCCCGTGTACCGCAAAAAAACAAAAACAAAAACAAAAACAAAAACGAAAAGTGAGTTTGATATTTGAACCAATACTACTCGTTCCTGCCCCTCCCAGTTTAGTGAGGTACAGACTCTACTCCAGACAGCTGTAGCCAAGAACACAGAGCTCCCTTTCCCCACAGCACCAGAGGGAGGGTT